CGGATAGCTACCGCCTTAATGCTGTGTGGAAGCGAATCATCGAATAATACATTATTTAAATGCATGCCTACAAAGGGCAGCGTACTTCAATAGGGATTACCGTTGGTAGGGTTACTTTAATAAACAATAGACAGGAAGGACAAGTTCAAATGGCTCGCATAATGCGCATGCATAATGTACGTTGCCTCAATAATCCCCCCCCCCCCACATTGTGCAAGAGCGCAGCTGCGTGGTCAACACATCTATGCCTCTGTATAAGGAACGAAACAGTGAGACTTCTCCACAAATCTGGCTGTTGCCTGATGAAGCTAGTTGTAATTGTATGCTTTGGGTCTTTCGGTAAAGTCACGTAGATACGTTCAAAGAAAATAACAAAATAACAAAACACTACGACGTTTCGATCGCAACACAAGCAGTCATCATCAGGAAGAGGGGGTTAGTTTCTAAAGACAACATCTTATAAAGGTTTGAAATGGGCATAGCCCAAATGTCAGCAGCCAATGCCAATGCAGTGGTGGGCCGCGACCGCGGCGGTGGTGGGCTTTCCACCAATCACAGGGCTGCAGGCAAAAAAATAGCATGTCAATGCAAGATCGCCGAGCATCCTTCACGGCGAGTGCGCCAAGGTGGCTATGTTAATGTGAGAAATGAGCATGTTAATGTGAGAGATTAGTATGTTAATGTGAGAGATTAGCATGTTAATGGGAGGTCGTGAAGCAGCAGCCTCGAGGGTGGCTGGCGAGGTAGCTGTGGTAGTGAGAAATTTAATCTGTTAATGTAAAAAATCAGAGAGTCGATAATAACAACTAACATCGGAAGGTGGTAAGGCTGGTAACATCACAGCCAGTTATGACTTAAACTGGTTAAAAACGTCCTTCCAATGATTGCTCAGTTTGTACCCATCTTCTCGGTTGAAATTGTGTTTGTGTCTATAAATACGGATGGCTTCATGAACAAATCTTTGTTGATAGCCAGTGGGTTTGCAAAGTACCTTCGTCTTAGAGAAACCATTTTCGTATGAGCCCACCGCATTAAAACAATGATCAGCCCCCTTTTCCTGATTGACTACCGCTTGTGTTGCGATCGAAACGTCGTAGTTTTTTGTTATTTTCCTTGAACCTACCAACGTGACTTTACCGAAAAACCCAAAGAATATGAATTCCTGCAGTCACGAAAGCTTTAAGTCAAGATTTAGTTGTAATTACTGGCGAAACGTCGTACTCAGATTGTAAATGTTGTGGCTTGGCTCTCCAACACACCGGTGTGCTGTACTAGTGATGAATTGGCCACATTCTGTTTACGTGACAACCCTTACTAGTTGGCTGTGTCGGGTGATGGCGGGTTTTAACGACACATTTATATATTTACGCGATCTAACCCAAAAAACATCTCTTATGGATGATATTGGTCACGAAAGCCTATGTGTTAAACTGCATTACGTATGATCGGACACATCACTAGAAGGGATTGATAGATGATGATCAGGAATAATGGCATCCAAGGCAGCCAACAAGCGGGATGCATCCGACAAGACGTCCGCTAATCCGAGGAGACGGATTGATGAAATCTTCATTATGTGCGGGTGCTCAGTGGATTATTACATCGCCTGATTGTTAGAGGTGGCAGCGGCATGGGCAGGCCTTTATCCATTAGTGGAATGACCATGGTTGATCAATATTGACAATGATGGTATGATCACAGTGCATTAACCTTAGGTAGTAAACGAGTTATAATCATGGCAGGCCGCCACACTTTGTGTAGCGAGAGGATAGAACGTGTTCACTCCGTGCCGTGCAAAAAATACGCAGCTGCTGCGGAGACCTGAAGCATCCCTTTGTTATGTGGGGCACGCAGAGTGGGATTTTTTTGCTGTGTGTATGTTGGCACAGGGAGAGCCACTGCTATCACAGGAATGTTTAAAAGTGTACCTAACCTTGGGGCAGCAATTTTCAATATCTTCTCAAACAGCCACGTCAACGTGGGCCACGGCGAACTTCACCACTGCCGGCGGTGTCGGGGCACTTTCCGGTGTTTGCATTTGCCAGCAGTCATGGCATTTTGAGCCATTGCATTTTCCCAAGTGAAAAACGGTTCCCTGAACTTTTTTAATTACGTCGCTTCACTTGTTGACCTGCCATCATTGTCAACATCAGCCATGGGCAATCCGATGCAGGATTACGGTCTCCCCAAGTCGTAGCCATCTCTTACGGTCCTGCGTTGCTAGAATCTACCTGGCAACCCACGCACGGGCCAATTTCATCGCTCCAACTGCTCGGTGGACGTCCTCTCGGATGCGTCGCATCGTTAACGTCGAAGGAGGTGCACGATCGCGAGGTCATAACAGATGGCAATGGCATGGGAGAGGCGTTCATCCAGCAGTGGATATATTATAGATAAAGCTGATGATAAGTGGGGTTTTTGTTGTTGATGTTAATACATTTGAAGAGGAGTCGGAGACTGGTTTACGCACTGGTTTATTCTTCAACCCACAGCCACACTCGTTCCAAAACCAACCCCGAACACGCGTCTCACAGCCCCTTTTAAACCCTCCATCTCCGCCCTCGTTCCCAATACACATCCTCGTCTAGTGTATTCCTGTGCGTGTGATTGGTGCGTGTTATACTGAGTACGGAGATTTCATGTTTGCGTGGTGTGTGAGGGTGGCTCGCAGATCCCTTACATATTGACAGTTAATGCAAACCCTTTACCTCTAAGCAACGGATAAAAATTACGTTTCGTATTTACTTTACCTGTTATTGTGTAAGATCACAATGAGCATCAACAACGTAAAACTTAACATTACTTTATATTTGGGGTGAAACAAGGGATTGATGTATTCATATAATGATATCGCGTGCGTGAGATTCCACTTGTTTTCAGAATGAGTATTTGTTGTATCTAATGGGTTCACGTCAGAGTGCCAGCCACTTGAGGCGCTACCATTCGCCGCAATCTATCTTCTATCCATATATATAAAAGTAAAAATTTGTCTGTGGGTTTGTGGCGGGGTTTGTGGGTTTGTTTGTGTGTTCGCGCGCTTGCGAAGGATTTGGCTCTCCAACGGTGATGTTTACGTAAAATAAAAATAGCCAGGTACCACGCCGTAAGCCCCGCCGTGAGCAAGCGCTTTTTATTTTTCACATCCCTCAACTTTAAATTAGTTTAATTATCGATTTAGTGCGATTTGTTGTGCGCTCCATTTTTATTTATTTAGTTATGACACGTGCGCGACCATACCAACTCACGCGCCTTTGGTGGGGGGGACGGCCCTTGCCAAGTCGCACGCTTTTGGTGGGAGTGATGGGGGCATTTTCTTTCACGTTAAAAATGCTATAAAAAATACACTAAACGCTCAGGTTAATTCTTCATTGTGTCATGTTCCCCCCACCCCGGTGCGTGCAGTTACTACTATACAATCGGTAGATGCTACCACTATAGGCCGTAGATATTACTGCCGAGCTGCCGGGGAGATCGTGGCTGGGGGGAGGCGGTTAGGGGTAGCAGCCCAGTCCCAGCCTGCCAAGGTACCACCTCGGCTGGCTGGATAATCTAGGTGAGGCCTGAGGCTCTGCACGGGACTAGGCCTCACCACGCCACTCTGTCAAGTGAGTACTTTGTGCTGTTGGGTCGATAAATACTGCTATTGAGTCAGCATGTACTACTGTAGTGATAGCAGGTACCACCACAGTCGGTATGCACTGCTGTAATCATAGCAGGTACCACCACAGTTAGTACGCACTGCTGTTAGATTTTTAAGAGTAGTTTTGAAATATTTTTTTGGCCTGGGCAATGCCGGGTATATAAGCTAGTTTTAAATAAGGCATCTATTCTGTTAGTGCAATCTCAGCCCTGAATCGTGACAATTCATAGCAGCAGGGTGGGGGGAATCTTTCCACTCCTACTTATTATGAACAAATCCACAACGAATATGAATCACAGTGGCTGGACAGCAGAGTCTTTGAGGCTGGTATATTAAAACAGCTGGGTGGCTCAGCTGTAATCACTCCTGACACTCAGCCGGATTGCACGGTTAGCAGAGCGTTTTTTACTAAAGTGTGACGACAGCTGTAAAATTTATAGTAGCTGCACTTAATTTGCTTATTAGAACGAGAAACTGTGTCGCACTGCCAATATCTCAATTACACACATTTACGTTCGCCCATAACTAAATTGTGAGAAAGCAACATCACAATTGTTCCTGTGTAGCTACAATAATCCTAGTCTTTCATACAAAAGAAAAATTAATCTCTTAATGCTCTTACATGATTAAATAAAATGTATTTATTGGAATACACATTATATTCGCATACATATGTATATGCCTGTAAAAAAATACCTTCAAAATTAGCACGTGTATACATGTGAGACACATATACATGAAACAATCCATACCTACTATTACACATTTTAGCCGGGCGGTGGTGACGCATGCCTGTAATCCAGCACTCTGGCGGCGAGGATTGGTGGATCACACAAAGGTTGGGAAACTGCCTTCCTATGGGCATCGAGGTCCCATACCCTGGCTTACCAGGAGACAGTGGTACAGCAAATGTGGATCCCACCTGTTTGGCACGTGTGGGATTTCTCCGGGTGCTCCGGTTTCCTCCCACACTCATGAATTGGGTGATACCACCTTAATATATAGAAGATTGCAGAGCTCGGGAGGGAATTTGGTGCCAGGTCACCGCATCACGCGCTTTCAGATGCGCTTCTGCGGCCGTCTGGAGCGCTCTTCCTTCTGATATTAGGAAGCCACTGGAGCTATGCACTTTTGAATATAGATTGAAAACTGTATTTTAAAGCAGTGCATTACAATTTGAAATTATTAAGATTTTTAAGCAATTCCAAGTTATTTATCACAATGAGGATTATGAGAGAGCAGGAGAGGCTGCCAGAAACTTAAAAGTAATCCATAGACAATGTCTGACCTCACTCTGCCATTTAGAGCAAGATTGACTCTTTTATTATACTACATATTACATTAAATGTCCATAATGTACCTTTTGGAAGAATTCCTCTCCGCTTTCTCCTTTCCCTTCCACAGCAGCTGAAGAGACAAATTTTGGGGGCAGGGGTGGGGGTTGGTGGGGGGGTAGACGCAAAGACAAATGAGTGACCGCATTTTCAGAAAATTATAGCACGGAGAGTGTGCGCTCCCCTGCACGACACAACAACCGCGCGACGCTCACTCCAAGACTTCGCATTTGGTTCTTCAATTCCGCGCGGCGCTGCACCTATGTTTAACGTTTTAACACTTCCGCCAAAAGAGCCATGATCCTTAAAAATAAACAGGCTTCTTCGTGAACGCTAATATCCTGGGCTCTCACTGTCGGCACTTGAAATCCATTAGATCAAGTTGTGAGCAGCAGCAGTAGGAGGAAGAGGGAAAAAACCCTTTTAATGCGCACAGTGCACATGTATTTGACGCAGATATTTAAGCTGCTAAAAAGGCGCTGTTTTGGTTTACGAAAAAAAGCAAGGTCATGGGAGGCCCACTGCGGCACATGCGGTGAGCTGATGCGCCCCTTTCTTGAGCCGGACGGTGTGGTCTGAATGTTCATTGAGGGCCACTGGGAATGAGATTATGAGACTTCTTATGCACTATCCTTGTGCTTTTAACAGAAGGTAAAAAAAAATATTGTTTAAAAATAATCCAGGGCAGCCCATTTTCCCAAATTGAAAAGAGGGCTTATGGAGGTGCTGTGTAGACGAGGATGTTGAGTCACTTCGTACATTTTCACTCGCATCGCACAAATGACGACTCTGCTTTGGTGCTGTTTGATCAGCTAGGTGCAAGGTGTCATCGTCGTCATCGTGAACTATCCACTGCCGGATGAAGGCTTCTCCCAGCCGTTGCCACCTCTCAATCTTACGATGCAAACTTTCATATGGCTACTGCACGCCAGCTGATTAAATCGCCTCGTCTGTCCACGGTGGACATCCTCTCAGGCATGTTGCTGCCTTTGTTTGTCACTCCATCATTAGCCTTGACCACTTGCCGTCATCCCTTCTAGCAGCACGTCATGTTGAATGTTTTAACAGCCAACATGATGTCTCGAACTCGAGTTTTGTTCTCGAAACGATGTGTTCCTATCTTCCGGTGAAATTCCAAGCATGCACCTCTTCATGTTTCTGCATGCATTTATCAACGCTTTGCTCCATTTCCTTAAACAATGTTCACGTTTTTGATACGTTCATATGACACGGCAACATACCGATGCACTTACAGACAAACGTTTTTAATCAGTGCGCAAGCTTTATCGTTATTATTTTAAAAAAAAACTCTGAACAAAGTTATTGTTTTGCCTTTTCCAATGCTGGGAACAATGAAACAGGACTTCATGGTCCACGTACCCCGTCCCTGCATTCCAGCCCGAGCAGATATCTTTCAGGTTAAGATCGACTTTGGCACAGGCGCATGCGTTCCAGCGAGCCGCGGCGTTGATTTCCACGTACGGAACGCGCTCTGCAGCGCACCTTTCATTAACCCCCAGCCGAAGGAATTCGATAATGTGTTTTACAAGCTGGAAGGCATCTGCTTTAATGACAAACATGGATTTTTTTTTAAGAACTTGACTCAATTACACATTGTTGAGACTTTCAAGTAACTTCATCCGGGCATGGGCGGCGAGTGAGGTGCGTTACTCGGCACACAAGGGCTTGAAATATATTGCTTGATGCTTTTGGCTGTGAAATTTGAGAACACTGTTCACACACTATTAGGCCCTATTAGAGTGGTGTCAAGCCTCCAAATAAATGTGGCTCACCCACGGAGTTGGCCTTGTTATTTCTCCCACACCTCCTCATTTAACACACGCTGGGACAAACGATCCACTAAATCACTCATTAATTGACTCCACAGCGGTTGAGGTGGGGAGGGGTGGGGAAACACAGGGTGTGGTACAACATTAACCCCTTAACCCCTCTGTCACTGCACATCTGTGTCATCCAGCTTCTACACAAGCTCAGTCTTGAAACACTGCGTGGAATTAAACTGTGTTCTGAGATTTTAAAATTATTTGAAATTGGACGGGGTTTAGAGCCCCCCAATGGGCCAGCATAACCACAGGGTACAAACAGGCAAAACTTAAAAGTGTTACAGTAAAATTAACAGGAGTGTCGTCTTCCACAGATGGTCAAAGTGAACCTGGACTCGCGGCTACAAGCCACGGCCAGACACAGCATTGCCTTTCACCGACCAGAAAAGTTAGCAATGAATAACCCTATAACCTCCAGCTGTGTCTGAAAAATCATGATGGGTTAATAATCAACGCGAGCATCATCACTGTGGCATTAATCGGTATGGATGTGTAATAAATGAAAGCAATAAATCAACCTCCATTTCGCATTTCACATAAAGATAAAACGTATTTTTTTTCAGGCTGTTGGCCTTCAGATTCTGATGATGAGACAGAGAAGGTCTAAACTGGTCTGAAAGGCTTCAATGTTGACCAGCTGATGTTAACCAACTGATGTTCGTCGACATAATTCTAAAAAACCAATAGGCATATCAACCAAAAATATATATTTCATTTTCATGTGGAGATACGGTACAAATGCGGTTCATTTAAAATGCTTCCTCGACAAACCCCTTAAATATATAAGAGAAACCGCCACTGTTCCTAACTTTGATTTTCCTTCCTTTCCCGCACAAAAACTCCTGAGTAAATCATAATTTAACTGGCCACAGGAGGTTGAACATCTATTTCATGAATGGAAAATAAAATATATTTTTCCACAAATAGAAAATTTTAATTGTCACGGCGGAACGCCACACCAAGCAATCAAACACATCGTGAACTCCTGCCCTGTATAAGAATTTCCAGGATATGCGAGCGGCCTACTGGATTTAAAATATGGATGTAAAATCATCACTTCTACTCAATGTCCATACAAACGAGCAGAAGAACCACACTAATTTCCACTGCTCACTACATTGCCAAGTCACCCCGGTCTGTCTGAGCCGAGTATTTGGCCGACTCAGAGCTCTGTATGTTTTAGCACACACTGAAGTGCAACCCGGGTGCCTGAGATGATGGATGAGAAGATGAGATGAGAAGCGCACCAGGCGTTTCAGCCCCGTGAAGTTTAACAAGTGAAAGGCCCAAGTGGCCCACTCAGCAGGGTTCTTGCCAAGTTAATATGCAACCTTGACATGCTTCACTGAGTGGTGAGCCGGTGTTAATATTCAACCTTGATATTGATTGGCGAATTCTTAGCCTCTTGATCCGTATGCCTTCTCAGGCCAGTGCTATGTTGCCCGTTGGCAGGTACCCGCGTGGGCTCTCGGTTGGTTCCTGCTGCATAATGAACACAGCCTCATTGCCCCAGCACGCACGATGCTTCCCATGCACGTGTGTGCATTTGCGGTGGTGCAGCTATCGAGTTTGCAGGCCGTGCAACTGCACCGGGGCCGACTGGCCGGGTTATGTATAAAATGGAATTGGACAGGTGGCTCCATTTCATTCCTTACACCACTGCCCATTGCAGCAATTCTACACCAATGTGCATGAACACTCGAGGTATAACTATTCACCCCCACCGACAATTCGATGACGTGTCAATCCACAATCCACGATTGACACGTTTGACCATGCTTCACCACGGTGGTCATTGTGAGTTGGTGACAAGTTGAGCCTAGGAACGTTTTAGATATGACTCCCCACTGATGTATAGCCATAGCTGGGAATCAAACTCAGCCTGGGTGGGTTTCAAGCGCTATGGACTAACCATCACACCACCACTCCACCCTGGACAAAGTTACCACGCATTAAAATAGTTTTGTTTTAATCCACGAACTATAACTCGATGAGCGAGTTGTACTTAATTTACCTGGATATGATCTCTTTTTTTTATTGTCACAAGTGCAAGAGCCCAGGATCTGACACTGCGCACGTGCTCAAACCACACACACCGCATGCCCCATGGCCACAACTTGCAGACACCACACGGCACTGCGGGTTTGGCGCTCGGGCGGTCTCTGAAGAGATCTAAGAGTCCCAGTCGTTGCATAATTTAACTCTTTATAACCCAGCACCCAAATCCGATACATTTTTGAAATACCGAGCAAGTTTATAAATGATTTAAGCAATAATGATTAAACCGATATTTCTAAAATGACATCACTCTTGCTGGCATTTTTTTCAAACAAAAGGGTAACTTTAAGGCCCCGTGTCACAAGTCCTGTCCTCCAACAGGTCTTAAAAAGTTAAGTTTTCTTGGAAATTAAATGCATAATCAAAGAACGTGGGAGTATTAGTGTATTAATGTGACCTCACTCTGGTGAAGTGTTAATTAAGCGTTTACTTAATGCCTGGGGTTGTATGTTGATAAATAATATAAGGGGTGGGAAACCGCATTTAAATCTAACCAATAATCTGTTAAATCCACATCCACTTTGAGAACTAAGCTTCTTGCTAATGAGCCCTCTCAGGTGGCAAGCAGATGGGAGAAAAAATACTCACACGCAAGCTGCCATGCACATAGACACATATGCACATACATATACAGACAAAAGTCCCGCATACAATCTTTAACAGACTTCTGGGGCAAGTGCTGTTAGCGAGCACCTAATAATGCGGGTCAAGTCGGGGTTGGTGCATCACGCCTAGCCGTGTGGGTCTCCCCACTGTTGATGTGTACACACCACATGAGGTACTCATTTAAGGCTGAGTCGACCTAGGGGAGGCCCAGCAGGACCAAGTCAGATATTCTTCACCAATGTTGGCTGTGAGTGGAAATCCAACTCAGGTTGCCGAATTTTCAGCGTAGTGCACTAAGTACTACACGACCGAACACATACACACATACATAGACTTACAAAAAAAGACACACACATGCGCCTGAATATACCGAGCTAAAGCACAAACACGCATGGACCTCAGCGAATCTAGGTACAATTGCGAACACACACAATCGCATGCATACACAGATGAACAATAAACATACACACGGGCACCTGAATACATTTGGCTACAAGCACAAACAAACGCACAGACAAACGCACAGACGAACACAGCCAAAGTCAAAGATAAAGGCATATTGCCC